ATTATTAGATCATGATATCACTATTAAATTAAAATACTACCAGTCACTATTAGACTATAAAGTTACCACTATATTATATAGAAAATAAATAAAACAATATTATAAATACAAAGAAGCTACCTATATGTAGGTTATGAAGTTAGAGTATGAATAGTAGGTTATGAAGTTACTACCAGATTATAAAATTAGATTATGATATTACCATTATATTATGAAGTTACTATTATATTATGAAATTACCAACAGACTATAAAGCTATTATTATATTATGAAATCACTATTATATTATGAAGTTACCAGTAGATTATGAAGTTAACATTATATTATGAAGTTACCAGTAGACTATAAAGTTACCTTTATAACCTAGGCTAAGTCATATGTAACTTTATAATATAATTATATTATGAAGTTACATATGACTGATATTACTAGTATTATAAAATATAATCAACTCTTGATATAGTGAACTCTTGATATAGTAAACTCTTAATATAACAAATTTTTTGAACAAATATAATAAAAATACTCTTATTATAATAAATTGACCAATCAATCTCTTAAAATCTTCACTATAACCTTATAGTGAAGTTGAGATCTAGGACATAAAATTCATTATAATAAGAGTTAACTATACTTTTAAACAATTTTTACAAGTTTTAGAAATATATGCAATTGTAATTTCTATTAAATTAAGGGATTTTTTATTTTTGAAACTAATAATAATGAAAAATAATATGTAATTTCATTAATAATTAATATATTTAAATATGATTTATCATCATTTTAATTTTTCAATTATTACTATTAACAATACTCTTTTTGTGAATATGTAAAAGTAGAAGATTCTATATTATATAAAGTTAGATTGTTTAATATTTTAAATGCTAGTATTTCTACTTCATCAAATTTATTGTAGAGTTTTAAATAATTCATTGTCAATTATTATTATTTAAAAAATCTAAGCTTTTATAATAAGAATTTAATAAAGCTACTATTAAGTTAAAATCATTTAGGATATTTTAATAATATATCAATATATTATAAATATTTTGTTTTACTTTTTTCAAATTTCTTCTATATTTAATGAATTTTTAATTGAAATCTTTTTTTTTGTAATTTTACTTATAACTTCATTATCATTAAAGTTAGTATCTGATAATTCTATCACTTCTGATCCAAATACAGTATTTTCATTTGAAAAATTATTATTATTAAATGGTATTTCAGTAGCTAAATCAAAAATTATTTCTTTAATTATTAGAATAATTCAACTTAAGGTAATATATAAATTTTCAGAAAATTCACATTTTGCTTTCTCAAATAACATTAACAAATTAATAAATTGATTCAACAAATCTTATTTATCATCATCAAGTAATAATCTTTTCAATTTATTATGATCTTTTTTAGTTTTCTAATCTATTAATATAGATAAATTAGCCTAAAGTTAAATAATAACATTTTTTTAAAAAAATAGATGATTTTAGGTATAATAAGAAATTTTATTGTATATATATATTTAAATACAATGCAAAATATCTGTATAGCTAAGTTTTTTCTGCATCTACTTTAATCTTTTTACTTATTTTTAATATTGAAAAAATTAATTAATCTTCTTATACATGCTACTAAAATTTTTACTAAAAACAATTTCTTTTCAATTGTTAACTGAAGTATATATACTATACTAGAAAAGTATTAGATATTTTTATATCTATTTTTTTGATTTAATAAAGAAAAGGTTGTTATTATATTAGATACATTATTTATGGTAATTGAAATTATATGATTTCTAAAGTTCTAAACTTTGATATATTAATAAAGTTTATTAATAATAATTTTACTGATATATAAAGAAGAAAATATATTTATTTTTTAATATTATATCTTTGATTTTAAAATTTAATGTAATCTATAAAAAGATTTTGCAAATTTTTTCGATTAAATTTGTAACTCTTAATAATTATTATTCTAATTTTTTTTCTCTTAGAATAATAAAAAAGAATTAAATTCTATTATTTTACTTTATAAGTTTTATTAGTAATTACAAAAGAGGCTAATTTATAAGTAACATTTATTTAAAAATTACTTTTCATATCTTTTAATAAATATATAATAATCAATAACTATATTTACCTTTTTGAAACATTTTTATCATTATACAAATATAATATTATGTTTATCTATAAAATATATAATCAAATTATCTGTTAAGTTTTCATTCCTTTCATATTTATATTTTTAGTTACATTTTATATCATTTTTATCTAAAATATTATAAACTTAAATCTCCTTACCTCCATCATTAATTTTTTTCAAAATATTTCTAAGTAAATGATATTTTTTATACTTATATTTAGTTTTAATCTTATAAAATTCAGTTTTTTATCTAGATAAAAAAAGTTTAATTATATTAATAAATAAATAAATAATAAGTTATTGCAATTTATAATTTTAATGATTTAACTTTATTTTTTCTTTGTTTTTTGAAGCTATTATAGATAAGAAAAAAGTATTTTAAATAGTAAGTAGTTTTTTAGCAACTACTAACTTATATAAGAATTTTGAACTCTTCAGATGCTTCAATTTATTATTTTGATATAACATTTGTTATCTCAAAATTAAAATCTTTATTTAGATAAAAAATCTAAGCTATCTATTATAGTAAAGATATTAATTTTCAAAAAAAAATAGTTAGTAAATTTTATAAGAAATTAAAAATAAAAGTAGAAATAGTTTGAAAAATAAAAGAAATATAATAAAAATAAAAATATAATAGTATAAATATAGTTCAAAATAAGAAAAATTAATCATATAAAATATCTATTATTTTTTTTTTATAAAATAAAATATTAATTATTAACTATTTATAAAAACTTTGATACTCTTCAATAACATATAGAATATAAAACAATAGATAAAATCCTTTTATAATTTTTAAATTTTAAAATTTTTAAAAAATTTTTTTTTTTTGAATTTAAAAAAAATATTAGGTTTTATTAAATAAACACTTTTTTAATAAAATAAATGGTTTTGATTTTTATGAGAAAAAAATAATTTGACCAGATATATTTAATTATTAATACTTGATATATAATGATATTTTACATTTTTAGTATAAATTTATTATTGTTATCTAAAGTATTAAATAAAGAACTATTTACTTTTAGGTAAGGTATCTTATTTGTCTCAACTAATAGAATTTTTATAATATAACATTTATATTATATATATTATAACTAAAAATAGAAATTGTGTTATGCAGATTATTTATGAATTTGAAATATAACACTTAATATGATGAAATATAACTAAAATCATAAATAATTTGTAATACTGTCTGATACTATATAAAATCTGATACTTTAAAATTACAACAAATCTCATTTTCTAGTTTAATATATTGTATAATTAGATGTACATTCTTTAATTTTAATAATTTATATTATTACAATCTAGAATATAATCTGAATGATCAATAATACGTAATTTAATAAATTTATAAATTCATTTATCAGAAATCATTGAATAAGAATATTTGATTTTAATTTAAATAATTAGATTAATCTTAATTTACTAAATTATAAATTGAATCCCTAAAAAAGTAATAAATTATCAAAATACTATTTGTAACATTAAGTTTCTGAATCAGTTTTACAATTAGTTATTATTAAGAATAAAAGTTTTATTTGATACATATTTATTTACATTAACTATAAACAAAAGAAAAAAAGAAAATTTAATAATTATATGAATGATAAATATAATAATAATAATTAGAATATTCTGCTTAAAAATTAGAATATTTATCTTGCTTGTTAGGATATCTATTTTATTTTTTTAAAAAAATAAAAAAATAAGATGCATTGTTAAAATATTAAAAGATTTATATATATTTTGAATATAAAAATTATTTATTAAAGATAATTTTGTATTATTCTCAATTTAGTTACATTAAGCATGATTAAGCATAAAATAACCAATCAAATATGAATATAAGGGCTTGTTAATAAAAAAAGGAGGAAATCTGAAAATTTCATTAATTTTAATTTTCAAGCTAATTTTGAATATATAACTGTGATCAGTCAAGTAGACTAATAAAAAATTTTTATTAAAATTTAGATTTTCTCCTTTTCTATTGACTAAACCCCATTTATGTATTACATATAAGGTGATTAAAATATTGATTAATTAGAAAAATATCATAACTTTAAATTACTACTGTTCTATTGAAAATAGTTTATTAGAATAATTTATTAAACTCTATTATTTTACAATTATATTTTTATATCCACATTTTTCTTGAGTAAGGAATAGTAATTTGAATTTTATTTAATTTAGATTAGGACTAGGTTATATATACTGTATTATTTAATTTAATACAAAAAAAACTTTATTAAATTATAAAAATTTTTTTGATGTTATTATTTAATTTACACTTTAATTGATATTATATTTATGATTTATTATAACATTCTAGATATATAAAATTTTTTTGGTATTATCAAATGTTTTGGATAAATAATTTAACCATATCAAATTCAAAGGAATGCCAAAGAATCTTAGCAATTATAATAAATAAAAACTATCCTACAAATTGTTATCACATGATCATCTTATCATATGTGATTTAATCGACCTATAGCAATGATACAAGACTGTTTTCACATCTCATAAAACCAACCCATTCTAAACTATCTCTTCGAATTTAATATCTAGCTGTCTTCTTTATACCTATATATTATTACAGTATTATACTAATAGAGCAAAACCATAATTATATCAATATATCATAACTTTAAGAGCAAATTCATTTTGTCACATGAAAATAAAATTAGTATATACATTATATAAAATAATTAACATAACAATGAAAAATCAAACTAAAAACCAAGAGCTAAAATGCTAGGTAATTAAGAAAGCCCAATAGATTATAATCGAATAAATATAAAGTGAGCAAACACTACCACTACCCCATAAATTATATAATTACCCTGCGGTTACATGAAATCATCGAAATCATCATAATTTCCATAATCCGTTGTATCATACAGATCAAACTTTTCAGTTTGAAGAGCAGGCTTAACTTTACCTAAAAACGAAATTTCAATAAATATAAAAGAATTATAAAATGTTAAATTCTTGAAGCAAACTTTATTGTTACCCTTTTTCTTTGGTTTCTCTTTTTCTCTAATTTGTTTTTGTTTTTCATTTGCCAAAGTTGTCAATGTACTTGCAAATTTACGTACATCAACATCTCTAAGGGGAGCACAAAGTTCACGTATAAAGTCATTAATAAAGTTGACATACAAGCCTTGTTTCTAAAAGAATTGTAGTAGACAATAAAATTAGAAATTCTAATTCTTTAAAAAAAATAATTTATAAAGCAATTAAATAATACCTCATTTTTTCGAATTTGGTCAACTAAAAGTTTGGAGAATTCTTCGAAATCTTCCTTTGTCTTGGGATTTGTCATAGGAATTGTCATATCTAAAGGAGAGCCTTCAGTTTCTAAAGAACAACATAAAACAAATTAATCAGTCACAATAATTAAAACCAAAAATTCCGAATTCTAACCTCTTATGGTTACTCCTTGAAACATTCCCTCGGCATTTTCCAAGTCAGCATCAATTACAGCTTGACGTTCTCTTCTTCTTCTTTCAAGTGCCTCTAATTCATCTTCTTCTTCATTTACTTCAACATTCTGAATAAACAAATAAAAGACTATTATAAATATTTTGAATTCAAACAGATCAAATCTTCAACCGATAAATTACTATTCTCGCTTTTTGTTCAGCGGCTTTTCTTTTTAATTCCTCTCTTTCGGCAATTTGTTGCGCAACTGATTTTTTCTTTTTTGGTGGAGGTGCCGGAGTAGTTGACTTTTTTTTTTCTTCTTCGTCAGATGATTCCATATCCCAACTTTCCTAAAATAATTAATTAATTAACAAGAGAATTTAATGTAAATTAGAAAAACAATGATCAAGAAGAACATTTCAAATATACTTTGATGTTATCTTCATCAACATCTTCATCGTCCCATTTCTTTATTGGTTTGACAATGGGAGGTATAGAAATATCGGCTTATCGGCAAAGATTAATTAAATTTTCATTTTCATTAGTAAATCAGTACTATTTTAATACTATTTTTGAAGTAAAATACTTAATAAAAAGTGAGCTTACCCCAGTCTGACATAATAACTTTAAAGGAAGACGAATTCACGAAATTGGAAGAGTATGTTTAAAAAAAAAAAAAAAGGGTGTCGTTTTCTTTTTATAACTCCCGACGTAATACGAAACACCAATAGAATTATCATATTTTCCGAATGTCCAGGAAATTACCAAAATAGTATCATGTTCTGGAATGATCGATATTACGTTATAAATACTAGGGTTTTGATTTAAAATGGACTTTGTTTCTTTTACGAATTTAATAAATTATATAGATACTAGGAAACGGAAACCCGCACTTAAAAAAAAAAAAAAAAAAAAAAAAAACTAGGAAACGGAAACCGTTGTAAGTCCGGAGTTTTTTTTATCAACCAATCAGTACTTTTTGTTCGGATTCTAAGAACGTCTTGTATTATATTTAACTTTTATAAAAAAAAAAAATAAGGGCAAGAAATAGAAATAAATATCAGGTGTAATAATCATTTTAAAAAATTTTGTTAAAATTATAAATTAATTTAGATAAAACCGCAGCTAAAATTCCCTTATAGAGAATTTTGAACCTATTAAGTTCTCATCGTATGAATATAACTAGGTATGACTTCGACTACCCTTGAACATAAAGCTTCCGTAGAAACGAGAGATCACAACTAAATTATAAACGGGGACCGCAGGAATAAACTGTTTCAATGTTTAATTATCAGTACTCTCAAAGTATCTCACAACTGGCCAGGTATTCCTAAGACATCAGAAGCATGTATAAATAGATACAATGCAACCAGATAAAAAGACATTTACTAAGTAAACCATATGAGAATTATAACCACGATTCGTCCAAGACTACTGTAGTGAGACCCTTACTTACGTTTATTTTTATGTTCTTATTTTTCGAGAACAATTTTTTCGTTCATTTTTGTCTTCAATTCTGTTGAGGTTTGTTCGTGAATCTGTGCGTTTGAGAATTTAATTTTCTTTATATTATGTTCTTCGTTATTAAATATATCTCGGTATTGGTTAAAGTTCATGTTTGAAGAAAAAACAAAATAATTTTTTTTTATTTTGATTTTTAAATGGGAAATCTATAATTTTTATTTTTTTAGCATAATGGACATTCGTTATATCACGTATTGATTTAAAGTAATAAAAAAAGATCGATAATATTTCAAAAACTAATCTATCGATGCGCAGTTTTTTTGCATTGATATATCGTTCGTTCCTTTCTTTACATTTGGGTAAAAAAAGATCTGGAGATTTCTGATCTTAAGAAAGTTAGATGAAAGCCGAAATTTTAAGGTTAAAATTATACATATTACAATATATTTTATTTAATAACTTATACCAAGTTTAAAATATTTTTAAAGTCTACCAATATTTTTTCTATTATTGCTTGCTTCTTCATTATCTAATATTTCATCATCTAATAAACTATTCACGCGTGCGGACAACCGGATATCGCCACAAAACTAGATCATAAATCTTCAATTATTATAAAGTTTAAGTAGTTAAGATAGAATTATCAGAATTATCTAAACCGGATAATTATAACGTAACTTCTTGGTGGATTTTGCCATGAAGTGGCAAAATATCCATCTTGCTTACCGTGAACTGTGAAGTAATCTCTGAACCAGTGAAGTTACTATATTGCAAGTAGAACTACATTTTCTGCTTCTGTTGACGTGATAATTATCAATTTAGTATGTAAATATGAATTCATATTTACACATAATGATTTTAATAAAAAATAATAATTTAAAGATTTTAATGATTTGAAAAAATATCTATGTCAGATTTTTATTAAAAGTATTAAAATGTGTAAGGAAATATTTGAAAAAAGTTTTTTATTTGCTATTTTCTCAAATATTATAAACGTGCTAATTAAACAAATATTTTTGATTATTTTAATATCGTAGTTATTGGGAATTTAGCAAATTTTGGCTATTTGAAAATTTTGACCGACATAAAAATATATAAAATCACAAAAGCGCAATAAATTGAACGTACCGAAAGTTGGAGGCAAAAAATGTTCAATTATTATTTAATATGCTCTTTCATGATATTTGGCCATTTGACCTTGGCTAATGACCTTTAATCGTGGCCAAAAATACTGTGGCAAATGATGTGACGGCTAAATGCCCATTGTTATTAGCGAATTTATTATCACACTATAAAATTTCGAAAAACCATTTTACCAACCAAGTTTTTCATCTCACGTCATTATATAACTTAACCGAAATTAACCTTGTGACAAATACGGTGACGAATTGGATTTTTCATTCCGAAAAAAATTCTATCCCCAGAATACATAGTAAAACGTAAACGTGGCTCTAGGTGACATATTACTTGAAGGTGAGAAAGATGGAAAAATCACACGGAAAGACTTGTCAAAGTATGATTGGCTTTTTCGGCCGATCCTCTGCTTTTGGATTTTTCATCTATTGTTCTAAGCCCATTCATAAAAATATTATTATTTATACTCTCGTTCAACCCTACGATCAAATAATTCATTGAACTTTAAAAAAAAAAAAAATAATGTCAGATACCGAACTTCCAATACTGTTAGAAGAAATATGTCAGGTATGAACTTCATGAAAATTCTTAAAAAGGCAGAAAATAATTCATACAAATTTTAATGATATTATGAAATAATCAAAACCGTTGTTTGTGGTTATTGCTGTTGTTATTTCCAATGTTTTTATGATGTACTGGTTATTTTCAGAATATTCTAAGGGTATTTAATAAATTTTTGTATTTATGAAACCCATAATAGCTCCAAGAACTTGGTGTAAGTTCAACTAGTATTGGCTTTAACTGGCTGACCATGGAATCAGACCGTTTTATCTGTGTGCGTGAAACTACTGGGCCAGCAAACCAAGTCGTGATAATCGATCTCCTCGACACTTCAAATGTACTTAAAAGACCAATCACTGCCGACAATGCAATAATGCACCCTACAAGTAAAATTCTCGCGTTGAAAGGTTAGTGAACGAACTTCGCAAAGTTTATATATATGAACCGGTTACTTTAAATTTTATTAATGCTGCGCCATATCTAATTTCAATTAGCCGGAAGACAATTGCAAATATTCAATCTTGATTTGAAATCTAAAGTCAAATCTTTTGTTATGCAAGAGGATGTAGTATTTTGGAAATGGATTAATCTCAAGACACTTGGGCTTGTCACAGGGCAATCAGTATATCATTGGTCAATGGAAGGCGATTCGCCTCCGGTTAAGGTGTTTGACAGACACGCAAGCCTTGCAAATTCTCAAATTATTAATTATCGTGTTAATGCAGATGAAATGTGGATGGTTTTAGTAGGAATATCGGCTGTGGTTTGTATAACATTCGCCTAATTATTTTTTTGTTGCTACTTATGAAATTTATATCATTGACGTATAAAATTAATCAAAAGGAGGGCAGAGTGGTGGGGAACATGCAATTATATTCTAAGGAACGTGCAATTAGTCAACCAATTGAAGGACACGCTGCAGCGTTTGCGACTATCTTACTGGAAAATGGAGTTTCACCCACAAGTTTATTCACCTTTGCCGTACGAAATCAAAATGGGGCAAAAGTAAGACAATATTGTTTTACCATTTTTGTACTATTAAATTAATACTTATTAAAATATTTGATTCAAATTATTTAATAGTTACATATTGTTGAGGTCAATCATAAAAGCGAAAATCCACCATTTACAAAGAAGACAGTTGATGTTTTTTTTCCATCAGAGGCTGCAGGAGACTTCCCTGTCTCCATGCAAGTTAGCAAAAAATATAGCATAATCTTTTTTGTAACGAAATTCGGATATATTCATCTCTATGATTTGGAGACCGGAATTTGTATATATATGAACAGGATTAGTGGTGAAACAATTTTTGTGACTGCAGAACGTGATAATGCTAGTGGAATAGTTGGAGTTAACCGAAAGGGACAGGTACTCATTATATTCTGAAGTCATTTTTCTTCATAATCTCAATTAACTTTCAATATGTATATCTAATGTTTTAGGTGCTATCTGTTTGTGTTGATGAATCCAAAATAATTTCTTATATTATATCGACATTAAGTAATCCGGAATTAGCACTAAGGATCGCTTCCAGATGTAATTTGCCTGGTGCTGAAAAATTATATATGGATAAGTTTATGCAATTATTACAATCAGGGCAATACAATGAAGCTGCCAAGGTGGCAGCAAATTCTCCCCAAGTAAGGTTAATTCCGATTGTATAGCAAATTTCGGACAACTTCATTACTAATCTCTTCGTCATTCATTGTAGGGCTTCCTTCGTACTCCACAAACAATAGATCGCTTTAAAAACGTACCGGTGCTTCAAGGATCATTATCGCCTATTTTGCAATATTTTGGAATTCTCTTAGAAAAAGGAGAATTAAACAAGCACGAGTCTTTGGAACTTGCAAGACCTGTATTGGCCCAAGGTCGCAAACAATTATTGGAAAAATGGTTAAAAGAAGACAAGGTACGTATATATTCATTTTTTAGTTAAGTTACGGCACATTTCTTATTGTTATTTATTTACAAATTCTAAATAATTTTTTAGTTGGAATGTAGTGAAGAGTTAGGTGACATAGTTTTCCAACAGGATGCGACATTGGCATTGTCGGTTTATCTTCGTGCCAATGTTCCAAATAAGGTCGGTAACAAGTAATCCTTTAATCTATTAGTTCCAGTCATATTTACATCTGCCTTTATATTATTAGGTAATTACTTGTTTTGCTGAGACAGGTCAATACCCCAAAATTGTACTTTATGCCAAAAAAGTAGGGTTTCATCCAGATTATCCTATGCTCCTTCAAAAAATTATGAGTAAAGATCCCGAAAAAGGAGCCGAATTTGCTACTTTGTTGGTTAGTGATGAGGATGGACTGGTTGATATTGAAAAAGCAAGTATCTTTTATATATATTGCATTATATTTTCCCATTGTTCAAGCTCTAATTGTTAAATTTAATTCAATCACAGATTGTTGATGTGTTCATGCAGAATAATAAAATTCAACAAGCTACTGCGTTCTTGTTGGATGCACTAAAGGAAAACAAACCGGAACATGGACATTTACAAACTAGGTTACTAGAAATGAATTTGTTAAATTTTCCACAAGTTGCTGATGCGATCCTTGGTAATGAAATATTCAGTCATTATGATAAACCACATATTGCATCTCTATGTGAGAAAGCTGGATTATTACAAAGAGTATGTTCTTCAAATTATTTTGTACCTATTAATGAGTTAGTTCTGTTAAATCATTAGCCTAATATCGCTTTATATTTGAAGGCGCTAGAACATTACACAGAAATAAATGACATAAAGCGTGTTATTGTACACACTGGATCCATGACCACTGAAGTAAGACTACTTTTAATTAATCATATTTATAGGTTGAGTTTATATATTCCAATGAAAACAACAAATTAATAATTCATTAAATATACTTTAGTTTGTTGTTAATTATTTCGGAAATTTGTCTGTCGATCAATCCCTCGAATGCCTAACGGAAATGCTTAAGAATAACAGGCAGAGTTTACAAGTTGTAGTTCAAATCGCAACAAAATATTCCGAGCAGTTACAGCCATTAAATTTAATTAATTTATTTGAGTCCTTTAAAACTTATGAAGGTAATTAAGATAATATAATTGTAAAATTTTTGAAAGTATAACGAAGCTCATAAAACGAATACTTTTATAGGGCTATACTATTACCTCGGGTCAATTGTCAATATTAGTACGGATCCTGATGTGCACTTCAAATATATTCAGGCTGCTGTAAGGACTGGTCAAACCAAAGAGGTTGAAAGGATTTGCCGGGAAAGCAATTATTACGATCCGGAAAAAGTCAAAAACCTTTTAAAAGTACGAATAAATTTTCGATAGTTACTTCTTTTGGAAATAATCTATATATTAATATAATTTTGAATATAATAGGAAGCTAAGCTCGCAGACCAGCTTCCCTTGATTATTGTTTGCGATCGATATGACTTTGTTCATGATTTGGTACTTTATCTTTACCAACAAAACTTGTTAAAATATATTGAAGTATATGTTCAGAAAGTCAATTCAGCTCGTACACCTGCTGTTATTGGTGGTCTCTTAGATGTTGACTGTGATGAAACGATGATAAAAAATCTTCTTATGTCTGTTACCGGCCCAGTCCCAGTTGATCAATTGGTTGAAGAAGTTGAAAAGCGCAACCGACTCAAATTAATTTTACCGTGGTTGGAATTACGTGTACAAGATGGTAGTCAGGATCCAGCTATCTATAATGCAATGGCCAAGATATATATTGACAGCAATAATAATCCCGAAAGTTTCCTCAAAGAGAATGCTGTATGTAATTTAATAGTCTTATAGATAATATTATACTATTTGTTGATTTATTTATTTTGTTTATAGCATTACGATTCTCTCACTATTGGCAAATATTGCGAAAAACGAGACCCTTACCTAGCTTTTATATCATATGAGCGTGGTCAATGTGATTTAGAGCTTGTTAAAATTACCAATGAGAACGCCATGTTCAAGCATCAAGCTCGATATTTGGTTAAACGACGTGATCCTCAATTATGGGCTCATGTTTTGGATGAGAATAATATGTTTCGCAGGTCTTTAATTGACCAGGTAAATATTCATTTTCGTCTTATTTTTTATACCTAATTATGATTTATTGATTCTTTTTTTTTTTAAAAAAAAAAATCTAGATTAATGCTGTAGCCTTACCTGAGTCGCATGATCCGGAAGATGTTTCTATTACCGTCAAAGCATTCATGTCTGCCGATTTACCAATTGAATTGATCGAACTCTTAGAGAAATTGATATTGGAGAATACGGCTTTCAGTGATAATAAAGCTCTCCAAAATTTGCTTATTCTCACAGCAATCAAGGTAAATCTTCTTTATTTGCAATCAATCTTTACCTTAATATTAAAGTAAATGTTCTATACTTTTATTTTCATAGGCTGATAAAGCCAAAGTGATGGATTATATAAATAAACTTAATAACTTTGATGCTCCCGAAGTTGCTGAACTTGCTATTAAAAACAATTTATTTGAGGAAGCGTTCACAATTTTCAAGAAGCATGATGATAATACAAACGCCATGAATGTATTAATCGAACACATTGGAAGAATTGACCGAGCCGCTGATTACGCAAATAATTGTGATCAACCTGAAGTATGGAGTCGTTTAGCGAAAGCACAAATTGAAGGTCTAAGGATTAAAGATTCAATAGGTATGGTATGATTGTCAATGCAAATACTTTTTTATTTTACTTTTTTTTTTTAGCCTTACACGTTAATAATTTCAATTCGTTAGATTCTTATATCCGTGCCGATGATCCTACCAATTTTCTTGAAGTAATTGATATCACATCACGCGCTGGAAAATATGAAGATCTTGTTCGATATTTGCAAATGTGTCGCAAGAAACTTCGTGAACCACAAGTTGATAGCGAATTATTATTCGCTTACGCGAAGACCGAACGATTCCATGATATTGAAGAATTTCTTAATTCAACTAATGTAGCTCAAATACAAACAGTTGGAGACAAGTGCTATGACGAAGGTTTATATGAAGCGGCCAAGATATTGTTTTCAAGTGTCTCCAATTGGGCAAGATTGGCCTCCACACTTGTTCATTTAGGAGAATATCAAGCTGCTGTCGATGGTGCAAGAAAAGCCAGTAGTACAAAGTGATTAATTTATATATATATATATATATATTCTGCTAAATAATTAAGTATTATTCTAATCATAATTTATTTTATTAAAAAGAGTTTGGAAAGATGTACACAATGCCTGTGTACAACACAAGGAATTTCGCTTAGCTTATATATGTGGTCTCAATCTTGTTGTTCATGCTGATGAATTACAGGTTTATTTTATTTTTATATAATTTTTATCATGAATTGTATTTCTCAAAATAGCCGTATTCATTCATTCATCTATTTATAGGAAGTTATTCGTCAATACGAATATAATGGTTACATAAATGAACTCCTATCCCTTCTTGAAGCTGGTCTTGGCATTGAAAGGGCACACATGGGAATGTTCACCGAATTGGCAATTCTATACACAAAATATAAACCAGAAAAGACATACGAACATTTACGTTTATTCTGGTCGCGTCTTAACATTCCAAAAGTCATTAGAGCTTGTGATGACGCGCACTTATGGAAAGAAATGGTTTTTCTATATGAAAACTATGACGAATTTGATAACGCTGCTCTTTCAATAATTACTCATGCTGCTGACGCATGGGAACACTCACGTTTCAAGGATATTGTTGTTAAAGTTAGCAACCTTGAAATATATTACAAGGTATGGTTTATATAATTGAGTATTATCGTTCAATACTTTTGTGCTTACAATATATATATTATTTTTTTTATTTCATTTTACAGTCACTGAAATTTTATTTGGATGAGCATCCTCTCTTGTTAAATGATTTATTAGTGGTTCTTACTCCTAGAATAGATCATACCAGGGTGGTTCAAATGTTCAAGAAATCCGACAACTTACCATTAATTAAATCATATTTGATATCAGTACAGGAGGTAAATGCGACTTGATAATTTTCTTATCTTTTTTTTTTTTTTTAAAAAAAAAAATAAAGCATTTAAATAGATAAAACTGTAATTAAATTATAGACAAATAATGAAGCGGTCAATAATGCATATAATGATATTTTAATCGAAGAAGAAGATTATAAATCTCTACGAGATTCAATTGATAACTTCGATAGATTCGATAATATCGATCTAGCTCAAAGACTTGAAAAGCACGAGCTTTTAGAATTCCGTCGTATTGCAGCTCATCTTTACAAGAAGAATAAACGATGGGCACAGTCTATTGCTTTGTCTAAAGAGGATCGACTTTTCAAAGATGCTATTGAAACAGCCAGTGAGTCACGCTCTACTGAAGTAGCGGAGGAACTTTTGGAATACTTTGTACAGATTGGAAATAAAGAGTGCTTCACAGCATGTTTGTACACATGTTATGATTTAGCTAGAGCAGACGTTGTATTGGAAATGTCTTGGAGACATGGTCTTACCGATTTTGCCATGCCATATTTGATCCAAGTTATGCGCGAATTCAATAACAAGGTTCGTTTCAACTGTACATATAAATTCATTTTTAAAAGATTAAAGATGGTAGCTTAATTCTTTTTTGACACTAGATTGAATTTTTGGAGAAAGCTAATGCTGAAAGAACATCAAAAGAACAGGAACGAGAAAAAAATGAGAGCGGTATTGTATTATTTTAATTTTATATTACATAGTATATATAGTTTACTAATTTAATCTTTGTTATATCAACAGAAATACAAATGATAAATCCAGCCGGATTAGGAAATCAACTTTTAATTACACAAGGACCAGGCCAAGGGTGAGTTAAATTTTTTTTTTAAAAAAAAAACTTTGTATAGGAAATAAACTTAACAATATTACCAACTTTATTGTTAATTAGCATGGTACCTCAAGGGTATGGTAATGCTTATGGTGGTATGTCCGGTTTTCAAGGTGGTTTTTAAATCATGAATTAATTTTCTAGTTAGAGTGTTAAATGGTGATGTATATATATATAATGCTTTATTAATACTCTGGTATCATTACTGGATTTTTTAATATGTATAACAAAAAAATTTGAAAAATAATATTACGGTTTGGCTAAATTAAAAAAAAAAAATTAATACACTAATCGCAAATATAAAGCAGACGTACTAGGTTATATTAAATTTTTATTAATTCCTAAAATATTATTGTCACGTGATAAATTTAAATTTAAATATATAAAAAGATCCCCTATCATTGTTATAAACTAAAAAATTCTCTGCAATATGGCCCACGTTTCTACACCTCATCCAAATGATTATATAAAATCGGACCATCATATGTTTTTCTCTTTTCATCCAGACAGTTCTTCATTTTTATCTGGATATTTAGGTGTAAATACAGCAAAGATATCCGGTACATTATTAATTAGATTTCCGCAAGAAATAGAAGCTAGAGAAATAATATTGCATTTTATTGGTAGAGAAAAGGTCGAATGGAAAGATGAATACATTATAGTTAATAAACAAGAAAAATTATGGACAACTTCAAATCCTATAGGACACGAATTAATAGGAGATTTCACTTTACCATTTGAATTTCAAGTTCCGTCGGATGCTGTAGAAAGTTTTGAATCACATTACGGAAGTGTTCGATACACATTGAAAGCGGTGATTATTAGAAAAGAAAAGAAAAAAAAAAATTGTGCTGAAGTTATTGTACCAATTTGGAGATGGTCTCAACCACCAGATGAAGAATTAAGACCTTTAGTTATTAAATCAAAATTTATTCAACAAAGAAAGCATCAAATTGAATGGGAAGCAGAATTGCCACAAACATTTTTTGATATTAACTCGAAAAGATTTAAGGTTAAATTAAAAATGATTTGTCATCGTCCAGACTTGAGAATAAGAAAAATTATTTCATATCTAAAAGGAATTATTAGAGATAAAGCAGATAATTTATCTTCCGAAAAAAAACAGTATTGGTACAAAGGTGAAATGAGTGGTAAAGATATTATAATGGTTCCAAATGGAACCGATACTATATTTGAAGCAATGGTAGTAATTGATATACCTTCTAATATTCTTCCAACTTGTCAAACCATATATATGAAAATTATTAATGAAATGCAAATCAAAGTAATTTTTGAAAGATCTAATACTTTTGTTTTAATTACAAAAGAAATTTTAGTAGGAAGGAATATAAATAGGGAGTTATCTGATTAAGTAATTACATTTAATAATCTTTGTAATTCATAAGAAATTATTTTATTATTAACTTATAATGTTTAGATTTATTTTTTTTAATTTTAATACTTATTTTTATATATTATATAATTTACATATTTAATAGTAATTAATTTTTTAATATAATTATAAAATAAAGAATATTATAATTTATACATTATAAATATTATACATTAAAATTGATAATAAATATCATAATATTTATTATCTTTATTATATTAATTATTTTTATATTTTATATTTATATGTATTTAATTTTATATAAATATAACTTTTTTTTACCTAAGAAGTAAAATCAATAAAAAAAAAAAATTACAAAAATTTTAATTTCAATTAATTTAAATATTTATATAAAATAATAATATACTGTAATCTAATATTTATTTATTATTTAATTAAAATAAATGATTAATTAACTTATATTATTATATTACTTATAATTAATAATAGTTAATTAAAATAATTTTATCTATTATTTTTTATTTCTTTATTTTTATTTTTTATATAATTATTCTTTCTTATAATTATTTTAAAAATGATATAAAGAATAATTATCTCTTTAATGATAAGTTTTTATTAATTTAATTTTATATATAATTTATCTTAAATTATAAAAATATATAATATATATTTTATCTTATTCTATATTATTTACTAAGGAATTAGAAACTGTTATTAAGTCTAAAATAATCTTAACAAAAAAAATTTCACATTGATATTTACTTTATCTAAGATTTTATGTAATTACAAAGCTATTTAATATTAACTTAATTATTGAATAAGCAAATATCAAGACTTTTTTTATTATATATAGTCTTTCATTATATATAATCTTATACTTTATTCTAGATTAATAAAAATTTATTAAAATTTTAAATATTAATTTTAACTTTAGATATAATATAAATATATAGTATAATATTATCATTATTTTAGTGTGTAAAATTTATATGCATAATGTACACATGTGCATATTAAATTTTATAATATCTGCTTTGATATACACAACTTCTCATTTTTTTACCTTAACAAAGTTTCACTTTACTAGTAATAGACTTAATCTTTTGATGATCCTTTTTCTTAATATATTTTCAACTGCCTTATTTAACAAATCTTTTACTTATTCTAGCAATATCAGATATTTTTAAGACTTAAATCATTACTATATATCTATTTTTATAGATTGAGAAAGTTGGTTAAGTTGCTTTGAGTAATATATGTAAAAAGATAGCGTAAGTATATTATTAGTCATTTTATATAAATAATAAAAAATTCTAAAAATTTAAAAATTCTGAGCATTCAGTCAATATTGCGAGAGATTTATTAAAAAACTCTAATCAAAAATACTTATAATATCTGACTAATAACTAATAAGAAAAAATCATTTTGATAGTGATGTTCTAGCTAAAATTTCACTAAATTAATACACAATTATATCTTTTATAATACAGATAATAAGTTTTTAACTATTTTATTTTGTAATAGCTTAACTTTCAATTTTATAACTCTAGCCTTAAGTTTAATATTTTTGGTCTTAATTTTATTGTTTTTTAACCTCAAGCTCAAAAATGTATTAATTTAATAAATCAGTCTTACTAGAACTATTTATTTTAGATTGCATGTTTGTGTAATGTAATATTAGTATATTAATATTTAAAAATAGAAAATTATATTATTTTGGAAAAACTTAGTTTATTAAAATTTGTCAAGAAAAATTTTATTAATACTAACGCATTAATAAAATATATAAAAATATATATATTGAATCTTTATTTTATAAATTTTTGAAATAGAACCTATTACTAACATTTTACTAAAACTATGCTCACTATTCTCAGAATCAGAACTATATAATATTTTGTGAATTGTATATGTAACAGCTATTTTCAATATTATCAATACATATATAAGTAGGTATACAGTACTTGAGAAAGTCATATATAATGAAATTGATGCTTTTTCTATTAAACAGTATTTGTAAATACCCAATTCTTTTTGCATAATATAAAGTTTCATAAAATTGCCTAGAAATAAAGCAAAATATAAGCAATTTATAAATATATAAAAAATAAAAGTAATTTGTTTTATTCTTACAATGTTAATAGTAAATATGATTAAATTTTGCCTTTTTAATGGTTAATTATATACCTTTTTAAGCTTTATTATATTTTTTGTGATATCAATGAAATTCTTGAAAAAATGTATTAATTTTTTATAATCATGAACTCACTTATTTTGAGTGAAATTAGGTCTACTAGTCTCAAGATAAACAATTTTAAGTTCAGCATTTTTTTAATTAGGCTACTATCATATAATTAGTTTTTCAGGTAATTTTACGAAAACCTTTTCATATAGCATTAGCTGAACTTCTTCTTTCACCTATATCAGCCTCTTTACTAGTGATTATATTATGCTTGAAAATCTAAAAAATATAAGTTATTATATCTATATATTTATCATAAAATAATTTATCACTATACATATTTCACCAGTTTTTTTCTAATACCAAAACTTCAAAACTTTTTTATCTGCTCAATATTTTCTAAGAAACTTATTTTAAAAATTTTTAAAGTTCTCTACTTCTTTTTTAAGAATATTTGACTATTCATCTTATTCTACTCATACAAATAATATTGTAAAAGTTCTGATGATATTTAAGAATTCTCTTATTAAAAAAATTTTTCATATTTTGATAAAATAAAAAGTTAAATATTAGTGAAAAACTTGCTAAGTAAAGTACAAAAAGTATAGTAAATTTCAATACTTTTTCATAATACTGCTTTTTTAGTGTCACATTTTTTATTTACATCCTTTCTAATCCTCATTCATTTTTGGAAAAGAGATAAAAAAAATATATAAGATACTTTTATATCAAAATTTTGTGTTAGAAAATAAAAGTATATAAAATATGTATTAAAGATCTTAACATTTACAAAAATGTTAGAAATAATATATATATCTTTTTTTTTGCTTAATTGCACAAAAATCTGATAATATTATATAGATATTATTTAACTTAGAATATCCTGTCCCTTTGAAGCAAATATTTATATTAGTAAATGCTATTTTACTAAATCTTATTTTGCTAAATGTTATAAGAAAAAAAATTTGAAATATTTTGAAGATCGATTTTTTATATATAAAAATTAATTTATTATACAAGCAGTCATATAGAATCATAAATTATTTGTGGTATATTACTTATTACATTATATATACTTTAATAAAGATCAGAAATACATTTATTTATATTGTATATACCTATATATATTATAGTAAAACAAATATATTATTTTTATTATGATAGTGGATCTTAATCAAGAAAAATTTGATGTACTAATTTAGAATTATTATTCAAATCTGTTAATCAAATTATACAGCTAAATAAGAGATTTAATTTTTAAATTACAGTAGTGATCATAAGTATCTGACCACCTGAGATTGTCTAAAATTATTATATAACTATCTCTTAAATTTTTCAAAATATAATGTAATACAATACATGATTACCTGTAAATTTATAAGTGTTAATGATATAAAAAAATTTAAATGATCATTAAACTTTCGCTTAAAAAATGAAACTTTCTTTAGAGAAATAATATGAAATTGTCTTTTTACATAAATACCTAGCTAGTTCAAAGTTTAGTTTTGAATTTATTGCTAAACAGGTACATTGTAGTAAGTCTATAACTATTTATTGATTAAAAGATATTATGAAAATCGAGACCTAAGTACTTCATAAAGATTGGTGATCTTATATAATATTCGTAAAACAAGATGACAAAATTGTAAAGATGACAGAGAAAGAATATAATATAACAGCCATTCAAATATAAGAAAAAATAGAAGAAAGAGGTGTTGGGCTTAGTGTAGAAACAGTAAGGTAACGTCTTCGTAAGTCTGAAGGAAAGTTTAATAATGAAATTTCTAAACCTTTACTTAAAAAAGACCATTGAAAGAAAAGGTTGCAATAGGCAAAAAAACATAAGAATTTTGATTGAAATTGAGTTGTTTTTACAGATGAAAGTACATTTTAATTATATATATCAAAAAAAAAGGTTTGACAGTTTTCTGGTAGAAAAAAAGTATTTTGTTCTGTTAAGCATCTACCAAAAGTTCATGTTTGAGGATGTTTTTCTGCTTCTGGGTTTGGTAAGCTATTTTGCTTTTAGAGGAACCTTAATGCTAAATTTATGTATACTATTCATGAGCAGGGTCTTCTGACTTCCACCTTTAAACTTTTTGGTAAAGGTAATATAAATTAAATCTTGCAAGAAGATAATGATTCAAAGTATCAATCAAAAATCACAAAAAAATAAAAGGAAAAAAATAACATTGAGATACTTTCTTGACCATCAATATCTTCAGACCAAAACCCTATAGAAAACGTTTAAAGGTTAATGAAAATTAATATACAAAAAAAAAAATTTGATCAATTAGAGAGTTAAAGGGGAAATTTACAAAAGAATAGAACTGATTATACTTGTACTTGCTATGAATTTGGTAGCTAGCATGAAAAGGTATACAGCTGCATTTATAGAGTCAGATGATGACTTACAATGTATTAATTTTAGTTAGTTGGTTATGTATTTTTTAAATAAAAAAAATTTTAAATTTACTTACTTGTAGCTAGAGTTAAAGGCGGTCAAATACTTATGATTGCTACTATATTAGTTAGTAAATCATATTTGACTAGCCCTTTACTCATATAATTCTTATATTTTGAAATTCTAATAAAATTTTTAATGTTAAATTTCTTATCAATATAATAATATTTGAAATTCTAAAGCTATTTTAACATGTCAGTAAGATTACTAGATAAAATTTAGAGATTTTGTAAATTGTCTAAATGAAAAAAGATAAAATTTAGCAAAATTATATTAAAACTTTATTAAAAAATCTGTGAAATTCTGAAAAATATAAAACTATATCAAAGCTTATAAAATGTGAAACTATATTAAAACCTTAGTAAAAATTAG